TAAATATAACAAATTGCCATTATGTTTAAAATAGCTATCCTTATACAATCACTAAAATGTCAAAAATATTAATTATTGAATAAAATATTGCTCAGGCCGCGTTTATGAAATATTATTATAGTTTATGTGTCAAAAATAGTCTGGCTAACATTATATAATGCTAATGAGCTTACAATATGAATACCGTTTCATAGGGGCATGGCCTTAAAATCATCATTTATAAAAATAGCGGTACTTTGCAAAGGCAAATATAAAATTGTTTAAATAATATTGCTAGAGTAAGCATTACTAACCGCCAATATGATGAACATTTGCACAAATAAACAGGATAAACTGAACTAAGTTTAACATTCAAGACATTATTATTAAATGAGTTGAGCTTTTGTTATACAAAATCATTGCAAAAAAATGTTTTTAAAACTATTGACGCATTTTGTGTGCGTAAAATATATACCATAAGTTTGCACTAAAAATAACTCATTAAAGCAATGCATTAATTGTCAAAATAATAGTCAAAACAATTGTGTCTGAAATTACGCAAACAAAATGATTAATTAATATTGTAATGTGGTAATTGACACTTACCTTACGTACAGATCATTATTGTGTGACTTTCAGTGAGAAACGGTTTTGTTTTTTAGCATTACAACATAGTGATCATGATACTTAAAGTATAAGTACATGATTTAGTAAATTTATTTCTAAATAATATAAGTACTTCAAGTATGTTTTCGGGTTATAATATTATATATAAAATAATAAATTGAAATTTTTTAATAAATATTAAATTTTTAGTAAACTTTTAATACAGTTTTGAAAATGAAATATGTTCAAGTTGCAGTACTGCATATTTTTTTTTATTAACCGGTGGTAAGTTTAAAATAAGTATTCATAACAAAGATATAATAATAGAATATAAATTTAACATTATTAATTATAAGATGTTTAGGTCCACGTGTGCATGCTGAATCATATTTTATATTTTAAAATATTTTATTGATTAATAGTGTCTAGTCTGTATCTAAAAATACAATGTTATTCATGTCAAATAATTATCAAAATATAAATCATACATGTTTTCGTAAAATTACTTAAATTAAGTAAACAAAATAAGATTATAAGTTAAAATAGATTTAAACTATCAATCATTTGAATTGTTCATGATTATATTTTTGTATAAATACAGTCATTTCATACAGATTTACTATTCAATAAATAAAATTTTAACTGAAAATTATTTGATCATGAAGTCTATTATATTATTGATGTTTTGTTTTGTA